GAACGATCAGGTTAGGTAGAGCGTACTTTCTTTTTGAACGGTGCAGTTAATCGGCACAACTGTCGGTACTGGGCTGAGGACAACCCCAGGGTTTTTCACGAGGTGCACACACAAAACCCTCAGAAATGGAAAGTGTGGGCTGGTATTTTTAGAAATTCTATTGTGAGTCCTTTTTTTCTTCCTGGAAATCTAACAGGTGATATGTACTTGGATTTACTGGAAAATACCATCGACCCAGCCCTAACTGACATCATAGAGAACAATCCTGGATACGTTGAAGCAGAACTAATATTTCAACAAGACGGTGCACCTCCACATTACTCTCAAAATGTGCGTAATTATTTAAACAATAACTTTCCCGTTCGGTGGATAAGACGAAGAGGTGCAATTGAGTAGCCTCCCCGGTCACCCGATTTGACTCCTTTAGACTTTTTTCTATGGGGACACATAAAAAGTAAAGTGTATAGCACTCCACCCGCCTCATTAGAAGACCTGCGAAGACGAATTATTGATGTTTGTCGCGAAGTGACATCGCAAGTTCTTCAGAATGTTCTAGAACGGATTGAAAATAATTTGTTTTACTGTATAGAGGTTGACGGGCAACATTTTCAGCATTTGCTTCATTAATAAGATAATTTTTTTTTAATTAATTCAATTTATGCGTTTTTTGCAAAAAGTACTTTTCAAATTTCAATCTTTCATATTTTCAAAATGACTCGACCGATTTTTAAAAACGAAGTGGGGAAATATGGAGAATGAGACGCCACTTGACCCCCCTTCCCATTTGAAAAAAGTTGGGGGATGACACCCCTGCTTAGAAGGTTGAAGATTTTGCAATCATTTTAGGGGCAAAAGTTGTCCCCCTCACAAACAAAATTGACGTGTTTTTGGATTTTTAGAAAAAAAATACTCTGGCTGTTATGCCTTGTGGAACGTTTTCGATGGGCCACCCTGTATAATAATGTCCTCCAATGAAAATACGAGTGCTTAACTCTAGTAATTCTAATTCTGAGCTAGCAAATGAGCTAAATGCTTTACCTAGACCCTTATTCAAAAGCTACAAATCTATCGATGAAAATATGCATGAAAATTTACTTCCTAGCACACAACCAGAGGATATTGGTACCCAGGTGCAGTGTCAAGTTTATTAAAATGCTTTTCTTAGCTTTAAATCAAATGTTTTTTGGTGTTTGCGCGATCCTTAACCACATTTTTCCTCGCTAGCTCGTGCGTCAAAGCAATGTCGTGTCGAGGCCTTGACGGCCTTGAATTTTTACTCCAATGCGCGCAAAGAAGTTTTACTTCAAAAATGTTTAACCGTCTGCCACCGTTCTATTTTTGACAATAGACAAAAATGATCTGCAGCAAAAATACGTAATTGTTTGAGGATTCTGAGAAATACAATGCTTATTTTTTTAACATATCTCGAAATGAGTAAAATATTAAAAAAATAGTATTTTGCGATTTTTTGTTGTTACGCCCCCTAGCCAGGGTTGGCAAATATCATGATATTTATATAAATATCAAGTATCGGATATATATCCGATATATATCTGATATATATCCGATATATATCAAATTTGATATTTATTTTTGTTTTTATTTTTTTATGTAAAACTGCGTTTAGTATATCAAGTAATATCAAGAGCTCAAGCAAATATTTTTATTTCAACTTAATTATTGTTGCTTTGTACATAATAGGAACACAACATTAAAACAAAAATATATAAGAAATATCGAGAAATTCTAAAAAAATAAACAGAACTTCTAAGAAATAAACAGGAATTCTAAAAAATAAACAGAAATTCTAAAAAATAAACGGGAATTCTAAAAAATAATCAGGAATTCTAAGAAAGCACCGGAAATTCAAAAAATAAACAGATATGTATTATAAAACTAACAACAAACAAATTTATATTTGATTTATTAATTTTATTAATGGTAAATCATCGTCAGATTCGTCAGAGTAAGAACCAATTGATACTGTTTCTGGCAAAGTTTTTGATACATTTGAATTGTCCCAGATCCAATCAATATTATCTTTTTTGTTTTTTTTTCTTTTTGATTGTTGTATTTAAATAAAAAAGTCAATTTTCCAGCTTTTTCGTTCCATGTTGACTTTTAACGTAGAAATTTAAGAAAAGAGTTGAGTTTTATTTTTATATAAATATCATGATATATATCAAGGTATAAATATCATGATATATATCAATGATATATATCCCATATATATCACTGATATATATCATGCCAACCCTGCCCCTAGCAGTCAACATTCGAACTATAATTTACATATGATTTCCCTTGGCTGTTTTTTCTATAAATAAACAATTTACAAAATTTTTCTTGGAATAAAAATATACACTTTTAAACTAAATCTTAAATAACTTAAAAACGATTTATTTTAAGTATAGGAATATGTATAATCAAAAAGTGACGAATTGAAAAACCTTTTCACTTGAGAAATAAAAAAGTGGGTTTCCATTTGAAAAAAATGATATATGATCATGTTTAATCGCCCAATTCCATGACAGCTTGGGCCAGTATTATATGAAATTCGAACAATTTAATTTTTGAAATACATATGTATTCCCTTTATGTCTTCCCTTTATGTCACAGTGACCGTGGTAATAACTATGGGTGCCGTTTGGCTATACACATTTTTGACAGGCAGTTCTTTAAATTTTAAACGTTTTTTTTCTCTCAAAAACGGTTAATGTTGGTTATACCGGGTGAGTCTCAAAAGTGGCTCACCCCTATAACTTTTTTATTTTTTTTCGTTGAAAAAACGAGATTTGGTATGTTGGTCTATGACATAAATTAGGATTGATTGACGTATTCAATTGTTTTCGGTCACTTCCGGTTTCACCGGAAATGACTACAAGTTTTGATTTTTAAATAACACCCCCGGTATTTTTTTACTTTATTCGATAGAAAATGTCACTCTGAATAGAATGACATATCATATGTCAACTTTTGACATTTTCGCATATGGTTTATTTGTAATTATAACGTGCGGTTCGGAACGAAAATTTGACTCGAAATACCAAGTGTGTGGTATCAAATTATTCGTAAAAAAATGCTTTTTCCAAATATGCTAATGAGCCACCCTCGTTCCATTTGAAAAAATTGAGATATGATTAAAAATTCGATTTGAGCATTTTCTAACTGGCCAGGACAAGACACTAAAAATATTAGACGATCAAATCTATTTTTCCAAGACTCCTTGATGAAGAATTAGTGTTTTTAACACAGCCATGTCACTCTAGATTGAATTTTAAAATACAATTTTTTATTAAGCGAGAATGGCAAAAGTTGACATATGATATGTCATTTTCTATCGAATAAAGTAAAAAAATACCGAGGGTGCTATTTAAAAATCAAAATTTGTAGTCATTTACGGTGAAACAGGAAGTGACCAAAAACAATTGAATACACCAATCAATCCTAATTTATGTCATATACTAACATCAAGGACTGTATATATTCTAAAGGACTGTTCGATCGTGTCAAATCGCCGCTGTCGTAGTCGCCGTGGATGCTTACGTCACGCAGGGACCAGCGCTCCATAGTGCGGCGGATGGTTATTCTAGAGGGACAAAATCTCAAGAGCAATGTTTGGGACTTAAAATCTAAGAACGTAGCAAATGGTCTAATATATAGCAACCATATGGTTAAATTTATTTATTTATTAACAACTTAATTTATTAATAAATAAACTTTGTCACTAAAACTATGATATTATTCGTATATGACACACAAAAACCGTATTGTAAACTATTGCCAAATACATAAAATTATAATATCAGGTGAAATACTTACAAAAAACTTTTTAGCAGTTATTTTTTAATTCGTAATCTTGTGACATCCTTTATATTTTATTTTAAAAAATTATATTTTATTTTGAAAATAATAAATAAGATAGATATTTTAATTTTAATTTTAACACTCGGTAATTGTAAATTCATATATAGTAAGTATCTAAGACAATTTTTTAAACTCAGTGACTTTTGATGTAGTTGTTTTGTTTTTATACTATCCGATTGAAATGAAACTTTTTGGCCATTCACCTGTTAAGCTTGAACTCCCTGTGACTGTGACTACCTGTGTTGGTAACTATTGGTAACTCAAAAGATCTACATCATTCAATATATCGATATTTGAAAAAAAGTGAAAGTTTGATATCTGCAGAACAAAGGCACGAAGGATTTTAACAAATAATATACGTACAGTAGAAAAGTACATACCTTTGGCAATCTTCAACATAATTTGGCTTTGGTATAAAATGTATAAGCACTTAACTCGTAAATATTTTGTTTTCGTATGATCTCCGCCTTGCTGAGCAGAAAACGACCAAATTTGGTTGATAAAAATGTATCGAAATACAAAGAATATTCATGCATTTTTATATCAATTGGAATGTCTACTATTTATTCTTATCAGTACACATGTTTTGGCTTATTTCTAACCAAACGCTTTTGTCCCGCTAAATTTATCTTCCAACGCACTGTGCGCTCGTCCGTCAAATGCAAAAATAACTGTCACTGTCTAAAATCTTTAGCGCCAAATTCAACTCAGTCCCCAGATGACATAAAAAAAACTGACAGTGCAGGAAGATAGGAATCGAACTATCCTTATCTCTATAGTATCCTATACCAAATCTCATTTTTTTAACTGAAAATATAAAAAAGTTATAGAGGTGAGCCACTTTTGAGACGCACCCGATAGAGTGTTTAATATCAAAATTCTTAAAATTTTACAGAGAATTTAAGTATGTAATAAAAAATGTCGGTACCCATTTAAAATAAGAAAGTTGTTATCAACTTCCGGTATTTCCGCAAGTGCCGCCATTTTGAAAATAATTTTAGTCAATAGATCTCGTTGTAAAACAATTGTGTGCAAAAAATCTCCGATCTAGATATTATAGTTCTCGAGAAACTCCTAGTCCACGATCAGCCTGCAACACCTTGTATATACGCTATCTGTTATTTTATATTTAGATGAAGATGGGGATGAGGAACAAGGCAGACCTGTAAGGAAGAATAGATCTGCCTCGCAAAGAAAGTAGGACCAATAAAAGTACACTTCGCTGCAAGACAATGAGTAGTTTATTTTGTACAAAAAGGTTATTTTCGACAATCGCCAGGTTATTTTTGTTGTTATTATTATTTAATAAAAACTTACGGTAACAGTGCGTTAAAAGTTGTGACGTAGCCGTGCTAACTGATACGCATGCGCATTATAATATGTATGTATATTTTGTTTTAATACTGATAAAAAATGGACAAAGTACAAAATCCTTACGATTAGTAACCCTATCATTTCACTTACAAAATAGAAAGGCATATTTTTTTTCTTTTCCATAATTAAGGTTAATATAAAACGCTAAGTAGGGTTCAGGTTTGACTTGTAACGTTTTTTTTTTCCAAAGACAAATATGAATTAGGTTGTTTCAACATTCTTATTACAATAATAATTAGATATTTTATTATTTACATGGTCCACATATAAAATTCTTAAGACATATTGAAACCCTGTTATATAAGAAAAGAGAAGCTCACGAAAATGTTTGTTATAATTACTAAACACGTGTATTAAATAGTAAGTTATCTTTCAACTTTTATCTATGGATATTTTGTATAAAAATTTAGTGGGACACAATAAAATGTTTGAATATATACAGGATATTCTTGTTTATTTCGGCCAATTCTGTAACTTTGAAAACGCTAAGCGCTTTTAGACGCTCAGCGTATATGACGTTAATTTTTACTTGGCGCGCACTCGCACTTAACTACGATATTATATAAACTTGTATGCTTTAACATTGTAAACCAATGAACTATATCTGTCAATAGTGTCAATGACAGTGTTCTTTACAGTGCCAGTGTGTATTCAGCAATTAGTCAAGAGATATGATTGAACGTTTCTTATATAACAGGGTTATATACAAAGTGGTGCGCAACAGTTATTTTAGAAAAAGTGCCTTATAAAGTTAAGCAATATCAAAAATGTTTTTCCCTTCAATAATTGGTAACTTATACAGACATTTTTACAATGTAATAATTGATAAAATGATTGAAGTTAATAAAGGAACTTTGACATATAATAATTGTAGTTTTTTTTAGTATAGATAACTGTGTTAATTATTAAAAATTAAACAGATATATAATCTTAATAATAACATGTTTATAATTTAAAATAATATCAATAATATATTATCTACTTACAAAAAATATTTTTAACAATAAAAAATCTGATATTTACCAGCTTGTCTTACCCAAACTCCTTGAAAAATTGACCGACAAAAATAACAAGCCCTTAAAATCCAAAAAATTGTCTTGTTTTGGCCAATTTTTCAAGAGTCAACGCCGTAGTCTTTATACATATGTATCACCCGACACTACAGTCTAATATATCTGTTTTTTTTAATATGAAAAGCTTATATTATATAAATTTGTAAATACTAATGAACCAACTAAATTTATAATAAGTACGTACTTGTATAGAAATTCAATCACATTAAATCTTAAGGCCTGTAATAGGTCTCTGTAAACTTCCGGTTAGTTTAACTAACCGATTCTAACCAGAATTTTATTGAGATGAAAAAATTGGCCCTAAGTCATAAGTCATCCCAAACTCTATGATGAAATGAATGCAGTGGCGGATCAATAGGGGTGTTGTATATAATATAGGCCTTGTATATGAATTTTTAAAGTAGCTCAACCTAAGACGTTTATGGATGTAAAGCACCAGATGGCGGGGCGTATTTCACAGTCTTTTACTACAGAAAAATATTTTTTGTTACTCTGAATTTTGAAGCGACCAATAAAAACAGAGAAAATAAAAATCGATAATTTTCGGACCGGGCCAATTGGTTACTAATCGACCAGATACTTTTTGTCTATTATATATGCTATAAAAGCTGGTAATTATACAATTCGACCATTGTAAATACCCGACAAATTCCGCAAGGCCGACGAGGCCGATGCTTTTCACTGATAAGAAAAAAAAATGTTTGTTTTTCTGAATGCACATTTTTAAAGTATTTTATATTCTTTGTCCGCTTGATCTATTTATACTGGTCGCTCGTATCGAAGTTCTGTTTCTTCTAGTTTTAAAAAATGTTCTTATTTCTTTATAGTTGTAGTGGTTGTAGTGTAAAATTAGATTAATTTTATTAAGTTTAATTATAATGTTTAGTGTAGAATACCAGAAATAGTTTAGTAGTATTTTTATAGTTTATTTATTTTGTAGTTAAGTAGTAGGTGAAGGGATAATTTGGTTATTTTTTCTTTTTGTTTGATTAATTAGTAAGTTTATAATTTTTTCAGTGTAAAATACAAGAAGTAGTTGTGTAGTGTTTTTATAAGAGATTATATTCGTTTATTTTGTAGATGTGTAGTAGGTGAAGGTATTTGGGTATTTTCTCTTTTTGTTTTTCTTCTAATTGTAGTAATTGTATTAAGTATTGTGATAGATACGCTATATATATTCCTTCAACTTCGTTGAAAAGTGCGTTATCATATAATTTTGGTTTTCTGGTAGTAGAATATACGAAAAAAAAATCTGATCAAATTTATTTTAAATTAAATTAATCGAGTCTTATTAATCAAATTAATCTAGTCAAATAAAAATCATAGTTAGTTTCTAAATACTATACAGGATTAGTTTCCTACGATGTTCTCTATGGGTATCTCGGAAACTACTGGAGATAGAGAGTCGGTTAAATGGGGAAAGAATTACAGTTTTGTGCGGTCATAAATAATGCGCCTTTCGGATTTTTCGGAGAAGTTCAAGGCTTACTAGATATTTCGAAAAACACAAATTTTGGCTATTTTAAAACTTGTCTCTAATTCCATTATAATCTACCGTATGATCGAATAAAAACGACGTCAACGATGGCTATGAAATGAAGATCGTTGTCATTTTATATGTAAAATTATATGGGAAATATCATCGATCGTCATTTCATAGCCATCGCTGACGCCGCTTTTATTCGATCATATGGTATTTTAGACAAAAAGTTTTCAGATAAAAGTTGTAGATAATCACATAGCTAATGAGTTTGTGTTTTCTGTTTTTTTTTTCTAAAGCCTGTCATTTTTGACATATGACACAAACATTATGTTTTTTTTTAATGGAAATCCTAGTTGGCCATGGCTTAATAAAAAACGCCATTCTTTAAGCTTTTCAGCGATATAGGTACCTATAATATGTTTTTTTTTTCGAAAAATTACAAGTTATAGCCAATTCTTTTCTTTCTTGGCTAATTCCCATGCCAATTAGTTGGCATCAAAAATGTAAAAAGTTTTATGTTTTCAAAAAAAAATATCGTAAAATTCGTAAAGCACTCAATTTAGAATAAAATAATCTAAGAATGAAATAATTCTTTTATAAACCTGCATTAAATCAAATTAAAATAGGTATGTAACTTTTTTTTTTAAATATTAATTAACAGCAATTAGTATTATCATAAATTATAAATAATGTACCAACATATCGAAATAATAATTTCTTTGTTAATACGGTTTAGAATTCTTAATATAACAGGCAAAAATAATCCACAATTTACAATAAAATAAAAGTTTTGTTTAAATTTCTTAATCAGCTGATCGTTATTAAAGTTCGCAGAAATCCGGGCTATATTATTACATTACTCTGAGGAAAATAACGAAAATAATCGATATTTTTGACTCCGCCCCGAAAGGTTCACGATTTGTCCTCCAGTTGGCAGCACATTTTGTCTAGTCGGTTGAACAACTTTAAGAATATATAAACAAGGATATAGGTAAGTATCTAGTAGTTTGTTTTTTATTTAAACTGTAAAATAAGCGTGTTACAATTAGTTTTGAATTTTTAAATTTTTAGTTAAAAAACATAACACCTTGGTAATATGGCAACAGAGGTAGCAGATTAGATTTACAAAAAAGAAAACCCATAAAAATTCAGTCGTCAACGAGGGTTGTCATGACAGTTTTCAGACAGTTAGTAGTATTCGTAATTTGCAAAATCAAGATTATTTTATGGACATTATTTTAAATTTATAACAGTTTAATTTTATTTTATTTACCTAGGCTAGTTTAATAAATATTTATTTTATCAAGAAAAACTAATTTTTTACGATGATTTGTAGATATATTGGATTTTCTAAAAAAGAGCCGATTACAGCAAATTAATTTTCTTCAAATTATGCACATTGCCTCCGCACATATACCCATAAAAAAATTGTTTCTACATCTTTCCGCTTTCGTATATTCAACCGAGACGAATGAGATGTGCTACCCTGTTATAAGAAACATATTTTTATATCTTTAAAGGTTTGGAATTCCTAAGAAATTTTGGATATCTTTTTTTCTAAATTTAGACACCTATCACTTTGTGTTAATATCAAATGGATCCACCACTGACTATGAAATAGATAATTAAATGATGTTTTTTTATTAAAAAATAATATTCAATTTTAGAACTAAACGGTTAAAATAAAAAAAAATGATACCTATGGTTAAAAAATTATATCTTTTTATATTATAAATAATTAAATATATAAAATCTCGTAATGGTATATACAGGGTGTCGTCTATTAAATATAATTTAGGTATTTTATCTGGACTTGAAAATAAATCTCTCTTACTCTCTTAAAATATTTGAATTATTCCTTGTCTTAATTTGTTCATTGTTATTTTTACTTTTTTGTATAATTTTTATAATAAAAACTGTGTTGTACATCCGGTACAGATAAATATAGAGTGTGTCTCGCCAAAATGATATTGGGTCTTCCAATTTTAAAATTAATCGAATTCTATTTATAAGTTTTTATTACAGCATTTAAATAAGTATTAAAAAGATGTAAAAGGTTGTTTACGTGTTCAAATATTTCTACGTTAGGCATATATTAGTTATGTAATATTTGTAAGAAACAGTAAATAATACATTTACCAAAATTTGTCACAACACATTAACATATGATGCGCCGATTTTTTATATGGTCTAAAAAATACAATTTTTGGTTTTGATATTTTATGGTATATAGATCAATTCTAAGTTGTCTAAGAATTGAAATATTGCTAGTTTTAAGTAAGAAACGGTAAACACTATACCAAAATTTGTCATAATATGTCAATATCTGATTCGCCGATTTTTATATTACGTAAAAAGTACAATTTTATTTTTCTGTTTTATAATGATTGTATAATTTAGATTAATATGAAAGAGTATAGAGGTTATACAAAAATCATGCATGTCTATCATATACCAGGTGCGTCTCAAAAGTTGCTCACCCCTAGAACTTTTTTTATTTTTTCAGATAAAAAACGATATTTGGTATGTTAGTATATGACATAAACTAGGATTGATTGACGTATTCAATTGTTTTCGGCCACTTTCTGTTTCACCGGAAATGACTACCTTTGATTTTTAAATGGCTCCCTCGATAGAATATGACTCTGAATATAATGACGTATCATATTATGTCAACTTTATTGACATTTTCGCTTAATACAAAATTGAATTTTAAATTTCAATCGTAGAGTGCCATGGCTGTGTTAAAAACAATAATTTTTAATCTAGGAACCTTGAAAATAGATTTGATCGTCTAATGTTTGGTTTGGTCGTCTAGTGTTTTGTCCTGGTCGAATAAAAGATGCCCAAATCGTATTTTTAATCATATCTCAATTTTTTCAAATGGAATGATGGTGGCTAATTGGCATATTTGGAAAAATATTTTTTTTACTAATAATTTGGTACCACACACTTGGTATTTCGAGTCAAATTGTCGTTATGAATCACATGTTGCAATTTCAAATAAATCATATGCGAAAATGTCAAAAGTTGACATATGATATGTCATTCTATTCAGAGTGTCATGTTATATTGAATAAAGTAAAAAAAATACCATGGATGCCATTTAAAAATCAAAAGTTGTAGTCATTTCCGGTGAAACAGGAAGTGACCGAAGACAATTGAATTCGTCAATCAATTCTAATTTATGTCATGTACTAACATACCAAATCTCAATTTTTTATCTGAAAAAATAAAAAAGTTATAGGGGTGAGCCACTTTTGAGACGCACCCGGTATAAATTAAAACAAGATGTATGTCAATTTATACAGA